AGTGTTTCTCTCCCCTCCCCTTCCTGTCCCTTGGTGCACTTCCCATCCCCTTAGTAGTCCACTCCCCTTCCTGGTGTGCCTCCTACCTCTCTTGTAGCGTGGCCGAGCGGAGCAGATCCCCATACAGGAGCTTCAGTTTTCTGTACCCGGACGGACTGACAGGAAGTGCTCTCTCAGTGAGTACCTCCTGTCAGTCCGGCTGAGTACAGGAAACAGAAGCTCCTCTACCGCGCTCCGCTCAGCCACGCTACACTCAGTGGTGTATACACACTGACAGTCACACATACTCACTTATTATTAATATTATTATAATTACAAATTTTCCCCCCAGCCTCCCTACCTGGAGAGCTGGCGGGGATCTGTTCCTGGGGTCCAGTGGGGCTGCTGGGAGGCTGTGGTAGAATCTGAGACAGCGAGGGAGCACTGATCTCCCTGCTTTGCTCCCTCACGCCCTGCGGGCTGTCTACTGATGCCAGGAGCCGGAATGACGTCATATGCTGGCTCCCGCGGCATCCGCAAATGGCACATGACTGTGCAGAGCAAGGAGATCAGAGCTCCCTCCTCGCCTCGGATTCTACCACAGCTGCATGCCGGGGGGTCCGTAACGTGGCCTGTTAGGAGGGAGCGCTTCCCTCCTGCCAGTCACTAGAATTTTGCACCCCCAGAGCAGGTGTGCCCTAAGGCGGCCACCTGTGCTGCCTTATGTATGTGCCGGCCCTGCATATACATGTTTTGATGAGTGCGGTCTTCATGTTCTATATAAAATATTGCAGGACAGCTAAAAAAACTCCCAGTTCTGTACCACTCCCTGTCACAGGTGCTTTATTCTTGGCCCATATTTAAACAATGAACTGCAGATAGCCCCAACATTATGGATTTCTCAGGTAAGTGGATTAGTATCATAAGAGCCGTCATTAGGTCAGCGTAGAGTAGGACCTGCTCAAAAAGGGGTACATTGACGTTGTGGCAGGCTTATGCAATGTATGATCATATACTGTAACTAGAAAGAAAGTATCCTGTCATTTTATAATCATGATTTTATTATATTCATTTAGGATTTTAGGCTATCTTTACATTTCTTGATGACCATAGATGATTGTCATTCACAAAGAAACATTATTGAGTACAATAACATGGTCCTTAGTTCAATAACAGAGCTTTGAAAAAAGCCTTAAATTAAATAAAGTTTTTATGACAATTTGCCAGTGGCATTATTTCATTATTAAATAAATTAAGTTTGCAAGCACTGGACTGATAGAGATAATTTTATTTCTAACATTAACTTTTCCTTCTTGCAGTTCAGATAAATTAATACTGCCTCTTCAGAGATGTATTTAAGTGGGATGTCTCTGATTCCCTCTACCCTTAAAAAAAAATAAACCAATGAAAATTATTGACAAATATTAAAATGTTATCAGGCTTCATCCTTTCTTTTCAAATATTTGCACATAACAGCTAGGAAAGATATATTTGGAAGCCACTTTACTATTTTGGGGGTTGGCTAAATTAAGCAAAACACCCTCTTATATACAAACATGACTTCCCAGTCCCATAAACCCTCAATCAAAACTGAATTTTACATAAAAACAAAATGACAATTTACACATTTTCACAAAGAAGTAACTAGAGTGACCCAAATTTTTTTTTGGATCTAGCCTGCACAGAACTAATCCTCTTCGGACAAAGCAAAAATGAAAGTGCTAATGCAGTAAAGTGCTTCAGGATCTGCAAAAAAATACATAGATATCTTGTATGCAACATTGTGTCCATTTCTTCCACCTTATGTTGAAATACGACTATAGGAGAGCACTTACACAAACCATCTACTCAGATCTCAATTATTCAACTCTACACATTATAGTCACTATAAAATCTAATTCAGCTTTTTTTCCTGAGATGCAGAAATATATATATATATATATATATATATATATATATATATAAAAAATAATTCTTAAATAACCTCACAAATTTGGTATCCCATAAATCTTGTACATATACCTGATTTTGTATAATTCCCCACCTTCTCAACAGCACAATTTGCTTTCATAGCAAACATGGACTTAGCACACTTATTGGCTCAAACTGTTTACCCATGTAATAACACAGACGGAACATTTAGGCGGATACAACATCATAATCATACATTCTGTTGAGAGAACTGATGTTCTAATTTCACATTCTACTGAGTGCACCTAAAATTGTCCAGTCAGTCACAAGAAGCCAAAGATATGGGCACTTCTAACTCTGCACTTTGTGCAGTATATCACCCATGTGTATAATACATTTTCCAGCTATCTGTTCAGGTAATACTTCTGCGTCTTAATCTTGCAGGTCCAGCTAATTCTTTATATTTTCATTTATTTTTGCTTATGTGTCTTTTGGGGTCTAGCTTTTTCGAAACATCCTTTGTAGCTCTTTCTGTTTTTTAAAATTGTATTTCTGTAAGCTATTAGAACAATACCTTTTCTGCACCCTTTCTATAATAACGAAGCAGGATTCACCCATAGTTCTTGAACACTGATCCTACCAAAAATGATAACTTCTACATCTGAATACGTTTCTGTTTCTGTTTAAAAGGTGAAACAACTTTTTTGGTAATATTTATCAAATGAAAAACAGGTGCGAAACGTAGTCCAATTACCATTGAAAATAATAGAATGTCTCCAACATTTTGGCACTTTGCTCTCATGTATTATACCTTGATAAATCTCCCCCTTTGTGTTTTATTTTACATCACAACCATAATTTCCCTTGCAAATCTTCATGTTTTCTGAAGACTTTTTATCCATGTCCTGATACCACAGTCTCAGCATGTATTCTGCTAAACCAGTGTATTCTATTGTGTGAGCAATAGATGCTGGTAGTCAACACTCCCAATGATTTGTTTTTGATTTGAAGTCCACATATAAAGGATAATTATAAAAATTTACACTCCGGGTACCATAATAACTTAATCTCAATTAAGTTTGTAATGGTGCCACTGTCTTACCTTAATGGGTTAAGCCATTTATGAATGGATTTCATTCAACAGATTTAAAGATTATGCCCGTCAGCTCTGCCACCCTGGTTTCTGACGATAGTCTGTGGCTTGAATGAGTGAACCTCTGAGAAGCTGAGGACTGAGCACTGCAAGTACGCTTAGAGCATCAGCTAACGCTGGTAGCCTGTCAGTAGTTCTCTATTTACAAAACTGTATGAGAAAGGTAACATTTTGAAATGGGGAGCTAGTGATCAGCGTTGCTCAGGTCTGGCCTTAGGGATGTACAAGCTGTGCGGCCACAGCTTGTACATTCAGGGGTCAGTGATATAAAGTTTCTCCTTCAAGTAAGGGAGGTGGAGGCAGAGCGTAATGGGAGGTGGTCAGATCAAAACAGGTGGTGGGGCGGGTGTTTGAGCGGCCTGAACCCTCTGCCCGGTTGGGGGAAGCAAATCTCTAACAACTATACATTAGGGGCTACATTGCCCCCATTTCTCCCACTGCCAGTGCCCATAATGGAAAGATGCAACTGTGTGTGTGTGACTACCTGTAACTGTATGTGTGCGACTGTCTGTCTCTAACAGTGTGTGTGATTGTCTATAACAGCGTGTGTGTGCGAGTGCATGTGACTGTGTGTAACTGTCTACCTGTAACCGTATGTGGCAGTGTGACTGTCTGTGACTGCATATAGCTGTGTGTGTGTGTGACTGTCTGCTTGTAACTGTGTATGTGACTGACTGCTAGTGACTGTGTGTGACCGCCTGTGACTGTGTGTGTTATGGCCGGTGGCTGTGTGTGATTGTGTGCCTGTAGCTGTGTGTGTGTGTGTGTGTGTGTATGTGACTGTCTGCCTGCAACTGTGTGTGTGTATGTGTGTGTGTGAGACTCTGCCTGTAACTGTGTGTGAGACTGTCTGCCTGTGACTGTGTATATGTGACTGCCTGTGTGAGACGGTCTGCCTCTAAATATGTGTGTGTCTGCCTGTGACTGTGTGTTTGTGACTGTCTGCCTATAACGGTGTACGTGACTGTTTGCCTGCAACTGTGGTGTCTGCCTGTCTGAGACTGTCTGCCTGTAACTGTGTATGTGACTGTCTGCTTCTAACTGTATGCTTCGACCTGTGACTGTGTATATGTGACTGTCTGCCTGTGACTGTATTTGTAACTGTCTGCCTTTAAGTGTGTGTGTGTGTGTGACTGTCTACCAATCTAGTTTTCAAATCAGCATGCTCTGAGAGCACTTGAGAGCCACATGTCAGAGCACAGTATTCATTACAGTGATTCCTGCCCCCTACATACAGGCCTCCGTTGTGAATTGTGAAAAGAGTGTCAGCAGAGGTTTCAGCCAGGAGCCAGTAGAGAGCAGTTAAAGGAGCAATGTGGGCTCAGAGGGCACTTATATATGTTATGCTCATTTTACTTTCATAGAGTGTATTTTACTTTCATATTTGTGTGTGCTCGTGTTTAAGGGTGTAACTGTGTCTGTGTGTGTCTTTCTGATAATGTAATTGTATGTGTGTGTATGTATTTATGTGTGTGTGTGTATGTGTGTATTAATTTCTGAGGACTTTTTATTTCTGAGGACGTGTAACTGTGTGCTTTTGAGAGTGTAATTGTTTGTGAGATTTTGAGCTGAGTGAGTGACAGGTATACCTTGGCACCCATGCATTGACACACGCATACACCAACTATCTACACACACCTCTGCGTTCAGATATGCACATAAACTAACACCCTACAATAAAAAACTTCCAATCTTCACACCAATACACTCCTTTGTTCACTGTACATTTTTTGAGTTGTATTGCTGTGCTGTGCTGTGTTTTATATCCTGAGCTTAGACTGAATTCAAATAGGAGCAGGCCTGAACAAGCTCTTAGGCCAACTGGCAAATGTCTGGTGGGCTACGATGGCCATAGCCTGAGACTGGCTGGAGAGATCTCCCCTGCCAGCCCATGCAGGGCAGCACTGGTCCCAAGAAAAAGCTCTGTCCCTTCATAGGCAAAAGGGGAGATTAGTGTATTGTGGGAAAGTGAGCCCTTACACACAACACCCCATGGACCCACACTCTACAGGCCCTATAAACACGCACACACATACTTTACAGCGCAGAAACACATTAACACACTACAGCCCCAAGCTACACACAGTACAACACAGTTTCCTCTACACACAGGCAATCCCACAAAACAATGCACATACTACACCATAGGGAGCATCCCCACAAATGCACAACACATCTTTAACAACTCTATTCCACTTTTGTTCTCTGGTATCCCACTGTTAGGGACACCAGAGACAAGTCACTAGCAAACACAGCACATGTTTGAGTCGTGCAGAAAAAAAGAAAAGAGGACATTTTTCCAACCTAGAGCACTGGGTGCTCTGGAGGGGTATCACACTAGCTTACTTATTTGGAGGAGGCGGGAGGGTTGTGCTGGTCATTGATGATGATGTAACATGCCACTTTTCTGGCCCCGCCCCTCCTAGTGGGCTGCTCTAACGTTAACTGCCCTTGATTAATTTTTGTCCCAGTCCAGCCCTGAATATGAGGCTCGTCCAAAGGAGGGTTTACCTGCTAACAGACATGCAGAGCGTAGCCTTGTTATCTCTGTGTCAATCAGCAATGACTAGAATGTATTGACTGAGAGGAGGAGGGAAAGTGCCTACTGTTCTTCGCTAGTCCTGTAAGGTATCTCTGTATTTATCAATTATCAGTCAATTCTAAATAAGCAATAAATACTTGATTTTATAATTTTTGAAACTAAGTTATTTTATAGCACAAATACCGTTTTAGTCACCATCACAAGTAAATGTTTTTATAAAATAGATAAATAAAAAAGACTGAATACTCTGTTTATGAGTATTTGTAAGAAACTTGATGGCATTGGGGGAATGTATGTTCTTAATATGACAACATGTTAGAAGTAGAATGTCTGTATCTCCGCAAAATACCCACATTCAATAAGTTGTATAAGAACACATACACCAAATGACTTTCAATGCAAAACAAAAATTAGCCATACATGTACATGTTGGCAAGTAGCTACAGCTTGCTCTTGTAAGGAATTGCTTACTTATTTTTTTTTCTCCATATCAATTATTTGACAAAGGCTCTCTCTAGCTGGTAGCAATGCTATCCATTGTCACAAGCCATCAACCCAGAGAGTGACCCATACCAAAAGGACCCCCAACCCCCATAACAAGAAAACGACACCAACTATTTCACCCCTGCTACCAGATAATGCATAATCTTCATCTCCTACTGAAAAATAGTCATTGATCTCCTATTTCCCCAAGACTATTAATGATTCCCACCGTCCTCAACAATATAATGTTCCCGGCCATTACCATGTAACTTCCGATCTTCATTTCTGCCCATCCTTGTATCTCCATATATTTTTTACTAAACATTATTCAGTTTGCAATTGAAAACCTAGCTACAGAGAATGTACTTCTTTCTAGATATAGTTTTATTCATTTCCTGGCACGCAGTTGCAGAATGGTGCTTATGAATTGGATGGGAGTAGAGAAATGAGGACACGCCATGACATTCTCTATTTTTTTGTCCAAAACATGTGTGCAAAGATATCAGTGAAGATATATTTGAAAACATCAGTTTTGGAAAAAATCTTCAAATCAACACAATTTCATTTTGCCATTCAGTTTTCAGTTTACCAGATTTCACTGTGTAGTGAATATACCTTTATGCATTTAAATGGCATGTTTGGGCCTTTGTATAATAGCCCTCTTCAAGCAAGACTATAAAAATCATATATCAAGCTGGGCTAAGAACTTACAGCAGATTTAAAACTTGCAAGTTTGTCTTTTGAATTTTAAGTTAGTATTTAATGTTTAATTGATATAACTGGGCATTTAAAATATTAATCTTTATTAAAGCTCTGGCGGCCCTTTATAGTTCTACATTGGTCTTTTCAATACAGTAGTCTGTTCATACTGAAAGGACAAGTGATGCCTTAAGGGGGCAGTAAAGTAAAAAAGGAAACATTTGTTTAACTGCCTTTGAGAAATATCGTTGTTAACTGGACATGTTTACTACATTGCCAAGCTGAGACGTAAAGTGTCATAATTTCTGCATCATTCACTTCGCACCATCAGGGAAGTAAACACATTGCAATACAAACAAGTACAATTGCTTTAGACTTTCATGGCACAATTTAGTGAATTGACCCCAGAGATTTTTCTCCAGCTGCTTTAGGATGTATCCTGCCAAAAAGCAGCTTTGTGCCTATAGGCACTGTGAAAGTCTGAAATAGCTAATGTTTATTTTCAATCTGTAATAGACTAGGAATAAGGAGTTATCAAAATATCTCATATATAGAGAGAGAGATTTCTCCACTTGGGTAATGTAATCACAGTAATACCATATAGACTCAAGTGAGAATTGTGAATATCAATATCAAATTTAAGGTCAAAATAGGCAAACTGTAAAAATTCTCTAAGTCAACTATGCTTCCACTTCAGCTACTCTGGCCCTTAATGTTAAATTCACTTTGAATTCTCACTTTTTAGTGAATAACCTTGATAGAGTTTTATTGGATTGGATTGTTACAAAATGCACAGCACTAGCAGGGCAATGCTTGGTTCAACCACTCGCTGGAG